TGGAATGAACTGTTGTTGAGGTAGGAGGAGGTGATCTTGAAGACTGGCCCCTCTTGGACCCCTCTTCCCTTCAGAACTATATTCCTTATTCTCCCATGCAGATCCCTGACAGCCCCAAGTCTGTTCTCCTGAATACAGGACTGTCATCCTGCCTTTTGCCTTTCTTCTTCCTCTTGGGATCCACAGTTAAAGCTGCCCCTGATCTTCACATCCTCAACCAGTTCTTCCTTGTCAAAATCTCTGGCTTACTGCATTTCAAATACTACTGAGGAAAATTGTTGGTGAACTACTCTCTCTACATGGGATTTGTCTAAAATTGAGGAAAATATTCAGATCTGATCCATGATGCTTTGTCTGGTCCCATAGAGCAACATTCATCCCATGTCATTTGTCACAATTCCTTCAAAGCTAGCTCTGCTTCATTACTGTTAGAGTGCAGCTTGTTTTTAGCAGCACAGAGCAATTGAAAATATGTGTTTTAGAAGGGTGAAGTCCTGTGCCATAGGAAGTTCTGCATATTTTTCACCTCAGTCACCATCTTGAAGGTTTAAGCAAACATAGCTTATGACAAATGTTCAAAGGTGGAGTGTGTTTACCAGCACCTCACAGTTAAACTAAGCTCTGGGGAATTGCAGGGCTGAGATGTATTACTGATCTGAATGCAATCAGTGTTTTCATTTTCTTGTTTTGGACTTAGGATCTCTTCATACTTTGAAATGCCTTTCAGCACAGAAATTTATTGGAATGTAACACCAATAAAGTGTCATTTTATATGGTATTATTTGTGAGGATTTATATAGCAAAAAGTTAGCACTAAGAGACAGGGCTTATGAAAATATGTTTCCTAAATCTATGCTCTCTTTGTTAGTGATCATTCTTTGATGTGTGTGAGAACAATTTTGCTTTTGGGACATAAGTGTCTTGGAAGATGATCTGAGAATTTCTACTAGTGGCATATTGTACTGGGCAGTGGGAGAGGTGGACTTCCTGCTCGTTGTGGAGTAGAATTTCACCTTGATAAAGCTGACTATCTGACTACACTGTGCCACTCCTCACTCCAGGTGCTGTTGGTACTAAAAATTTGGGCAGATTTGGGGGAAGACTGGCCAAGCTCATGGCAGAGAGAGCTCCAAGTATTATAAAATACACAGAAGCCTTCTCTGACTGGGGAAGTCCTTGAGTTGCAAATGATTTGAGTGCTGTGAAGAGTATTCAGAAGAGGGGATTTGCTTATTTATTTATTTATTTTCCTTCCTGGTCATCTCTTTTGCCTTATGTCTCTGCTGTTTCTGCACTAGGGATGGCAATAAAGAAGAGGGAACCTGGAAGAAATCCAAATAATTGTAAATGGCCAAAACTGGAAACAGAGGTGGGAATTAATATTTAAAAAAATGAGAAAGAAGAATACTGCAGGCGCTACCAAGCAGAGCCTCTCAGCAGACCCTACCCCCTTGAACTGGGTCTGGTAGGCTAGGGGATGTCTAGGGGCTCTTCCTAGTGCTGTGAGCCGCTCTCCATGTTGAAGTGTGAGTAGGGTCAGGAGGAGGTTAATGAGAGACTTCTGAAACTATCTTGGGTCTTGGATGGGGAGAGGAAAGTGGAATGTGCAGCTGGAGCCTCAGGAGGAACTTGGAAAGATGCAGGAGTGGATACATCTGTATGAGGGTATTCTCCTGGCCACAGAAAACCCTGAATTGGGACTTCTCATGAATGCACCCATGCCTGCTGTTCCAGAGAGGATTTTGCAGATGCCACTGGCCTCTGGAGTCTGCTAAGGCAATGTTCCAGTCCATCTGGGGCTCCCCAGTGAGAGGACCCTCCTTTTTATATGCAGAGGTGAGGTATAGAGCAAGTGAGATGAGCACGGAAGACTTGCTGCATGACAGGGTTGGATGGCTCTGTCTGATGTGAAATTTCTCAAAATGAAGAGTGGGGGTCATCTGAGGAGCTCAGAAGCCCTTACCAGTGAGTGGGGGCTACTCTGCTATAGCACTCACCCAAAAGAAGAGAGGATTCAGGGTGGCCTTTCCTTCCAGGAGTGAATGGTGGGGTATGCTGCTGGTGAGTCAAGTGAGTAGCACAAGTTGCACCTGGAGCCCTGTGAGTCCTGACCATCCTTGCATTGTGGGGACTCGGTCACCAGCAGACAGGCATGCGGATTGTGTAACTAGGCTCCTATGGGATGGAGCCCACATTGGTGGCTACAGGGAATTTGACTGGTGAGGGTGGATGGGTGAGCGGTTAAACTAGGTACAGTTTCATGTGGCCGACAGATCTGGCCGATAGATACACTACTTTACTACATGTTGCTCTAGTCTACATTTTACTGCCTTTGATCCATGGTACTATTTGATGGACTACTGTGTGGTGGAGCAGCTTGACTCATCTCTGATAACTGAAATGAACCTTTGACATGGAGAGGGATGGTCTATATTGGAGTATTGGCAGACACCTGAATTAGAATGACTTGAATATGAGCTGATAGGTTACACCATTTCTTAATCTGTCCTCGCCAGTTTGTCCATCCCACAGAATTTTTTTTGCACACAATAAATGCGTGTGTGTTTTGTTCACTTACAATAATAGCTATTACCATCTCAGTAATCCACATTCCTACTGTAGTGTAGGTCCAGGAACTATCTCACTTTAGGTAGACCTGGGTCTGGCTGGCAAATGTCCATGCTGGTGTTCAGTTTGGATCTGATTTATTTGTGTTATTCAAGTGGGATCAAATCTGTGCTTTTTCTTCATTCAGTTGGCATTTCAAGCCTCAGTGATAGAGGTCACCTTGCAGGAGCAGCTACCAAGGAATGCATTGTCGGTGAGGAAGCTGTTTTGTCTAGGTGACAACTGTATAGGAGTAGAAAATAAAAGAGAAAAGTCCACTTATCTCTACCTGGTACAGGAATGCAGCAGATAACACTGTGCTGTTCTTCCAAAACACGTGTTTGCAAATACACATACATGCATATATACATACACATATATATACAAAAGTTATGTCTGGAATTTCTGGTTGTATCCTATGCTCGTGCTCCTTGGGAGATTTGTAGGTGTTTTGAAATCCATTCCTATGACAGCTGAACCTTAACTTTACAAACTGAGGTAGGAGAGCGAGAGTTCTCTCTTCCTAATATACTCCACAGTGTGCATTTAATTTATTTTATGCTTGTTTACTATCGAAGTGTTGCAGGTAATCTGGATAGAACATTAGTATCCTGTTGTTTGTGTTCTTCCTTCTTATTAATGATTCCCAAAATGATTTTTTTTCCTTATATGTGGTGACCTCTTACTGAATTGAGATCCTTATTGCAGAGAAACCTAGTGCCTGCAGACCACAAACTCATTCTTACCTGAAGAGTGTTTCAGCTAGAAGTTCCTTGGGGCCAGGCAATAATTAACTTTCAGAAAACTTGTGTTTCTGCTGTTAGAAGGCAACTGATTCATCCAAACTATGTGGTGATTTTTTTCCAGTGTGAGTAAACCTGATCACCAAATGAACATGAAGCTGTTTGGGAGCTCTGCACCCCTGGAGTGTTTTGGCGAGTTAGCCAGTGTCTTTTTGGCTGTGAACAACCCTCTACCAAAAATTGATTTCCCAAACTTACGGTTTTCTTTCTGTGGTAATCTTGCATTTCTTCGTCTTTGTTTGGGGTAGGTAGCTGTCACTTTATGAGAGACGTTTTAAGCCCATTGCTTTCTGCCCAAGAGATTTAATCCACTTAACACATTAATACAGGGTTAATACAGAGCTAACACAGGTAAAACGTGCTTGAACAGGTGAAAACGTGCAAAAATAGGGTGAAAATAAGTGACAAAAAGGAATGTAAAAGCAACCTGGGATGTGTCTGGACTGATTTATTTATTTTTCTAATATGATTATTTGTTCAAGGTGGGGTTTGCTCAGAGCTGTACTAGGGGATTTGGAGTAAGGCAGGACTTGTGCTATTCAGTCCAGCATCTCTAGCGCAATGTAGGATGTGAGCTTTTTGAATCTTCGCTTGTTGGGTGCCTGTAGATCTCCTATTCATCTCCCCTAGATCTTCTGAGGGGGAAGACAGTTTGAAATGTGCCAAAAACATGGACATTTCGGTGTAGAACTGCTTGGTCTCCTGCTTGGCAAGTTGAGTTGAATGGTGATAATATATCTGGCTTTCTGCCATTGTTTGCAGATTTTTCTGCAAAAGTTTACGCCTGTGAGGGAGCAGTATAAGTCCTGCTGTAACTCAGGTGCTGCCTGTCACCCTGGGGTATCATTGCTTTCAGATCTGACATTGCTAATAATGCTGTGCACCAAATGCACTTTAGAAGGACCAACATGCGGCAAAAAACGCTCTATCCCAGTCTTTGCCCGACATCCCGTAGGAGGAAGTTTCCTATTTGAAAACCATGGTGTCAGTTCCTTAAAGCTTTCCTGTTCTCTGTGGGAAGTGATTTTTGTGTTAAGCATATTTTATATATCTCATTAAATTACAATTTTAAATGCTGACTGTGGTGTGGTTATAAACCAGACATGCAGAATATCACTGTTAGTGTGTGTGTGTGTGTGGGGAAACAGACGACTATAACTACTTTCATGATTTGTCAAACTTCTTTCTCCCTTCATGTAAGCCAAATATAGAGTCTTTTTGGGGTGCAAGCCCCCTGAGGGCTCAATGGTGTGTAAATGCAGACTGGTTCATTCACTGTCTGTCAGGCTTTTCTGACTTGAGGTGTTTCATCTCTTAAGCTGCTCCAGCTCTATGCCAGGAGATATTTTTCTCCTGCCATATGGCCCAGCAATACGGACCACTGGGAGAAAAAAACAAGTGGGTGGGCAATGGAGAGACCTGTCTTCTTTCCCTTTCAACCCCATCTCTGCAAGATAAGGAAGAGCTACAGAGGTGCCATAGGCAGGACGAAGATGAGAAGAGGGACAGAGGGGCAAGAGGAGGGCAAACTTGAGCAGGAGAGAGGTCTCTGTAAGTCCTGGCTGTGAGAAGGGCAGGGTGGTTCTCACGATGCTTGTGCCTTTGCAGATGTCCTGGCACACTCTGTACCACAGCTCCAAGTTCCGACATGTCTACGGCAAGGCCGCCAGCAAGGACAAATGCTACGACTGCGTGCCCATCACCCTCAGTGTCCACGATAACCACTTCTGCGCTGTCAACCCCCACTTCATTGCAGTAGTGACTGAGTGCGCCGGCGGTGGGGCCTTCCTCGTGATCCCCATTCACCAGGTAAGCACAGAGCAGAGCCGGGTAGACCTCAGGGAGGATGCTGACCTGATGCCACCACCATTGGTGGAGGTGCGGAAGGACCTCCAGGTTCCCGGCAGATGCTTCTTGCCCATGTGTCTTATGTGCACCTTGCTTGTCGGAACAACTACTTTTGTTTCATATCCCTTCCTTATATAAACCACTAGGCACTGAGTTGTTCAGGTGCTTGACTCTTAGAACAAATTGATGGCTGAAGAGCAGATATTAGAGGCAGAGGGCAAAAGCTGAAAAGGTGCTTTAGTTGCACGGCTCCAACTGTCACCAAAGGCAAGTACTGTATGTTTTGTTGTAACCACCTTCTGCTTTGGGGAAGAACAGAAGACACGCAGTTATCAGACAATGAAGCTCTTAAGCTGCAAGCGCTGATGGGTGGAAAAACTTCCCTTTCAGAAATAAATAGCATGCTTGTGGGTTAAGAGGGAAGCTGGTTCTCTGATACTTGTCACTTCTGAAAAATTAGGCGTGTAAGCTACTAATGTAGATTAATGTCAGTATAAGATTCTGGGCTCTCTGGAATCAGGGCAGGCCAGATGAAAGGTACAAGTTCAGTCTTTAATTAAAAGTTAATTGATGGTGTTATTGTAATGCCACTTTTTCAATATATATTTGCTGAGGATGAAAGTGAGCTGGCTATGCCTGAAGGACCTAGTACAGTTCCCGGCCCTTCTAGACTTTGTTTATTCATCTCATTCATGCTGCTGTTCAGAGATATTCTTGCTAAAATTAACTACTACCTTGTTTTTCTTGGCTGAGTCACTTCTGCCCCCTCGACCATGATGTGATCAGGCTGAAGAACTTGTCTTTATCACGGAGCTGCATCTATGAGCAGGCAACCGGTGACTGCAAAATGAGGGTGGGACCCAGTTCTCAAAGTGTTGGCAAAGCGAGCTGAAGACGTTTGTGCTGTTAACTGAATTCTTCTGTCTTCTCACCTCTTCAGAACTCAGGTTTCCTGTAGTAACAATTTTTTCCATTAGTGACACCTGCTTGAGTACTCTCCTGGAGCTGGAGTGCTGCTTGCAGAATTCAAAGATGTATTAGAAATAAAGAGGATACAGAAAAAAAATAATAAAATACATAAATAAAATTATGAAATAGCTTTCAAGTGAGTAGGGTCTTTGGGGGTTATGTGTCATAAGCATGGGAAAAGAAGGCAAACGAAGGCACCAGCATGCAGCCCAGTCTGGAGATACATGACAGAGATTCCTGGCTGTGATTGATTAGCACCAGTCACTTGTTTCCTCAGGAGTGAGTCTGTGAGGACAGGGAGGGACATATTATAGCACATGCTGCAGGGTAAAGAAGTCTTGGACAGACTGCCCTTGCTCCCTTGCAGTTAAGTTTTCAAGACGAATGTGCCATTCAGGGAGCTTAGCTGGAAGAGCAATGTGTCTGGCCAGGAACAGGCTCTGGGTGCAGCAGCTCTTGAGTGCCCAGAACAGACAGAATTCATTTGTAAATGTCAGTTCTAGGACACATGTGCAGAGTGAGCCTAACTGGGAGATGAGCTACCTTCCCATATTGTGTAGATTGGTGACAGATATGGGCACGCTTGGGGATGTGCAAGGAAGGATCTTAGCTCTGAGGACAATTTTGTGGCCTTCCTGTGAAAGACGGTGGCCTTCCTTTTTCCTTCCCTCATGACCAGACTAGCTCAGGACTGCACCCCATCTGTCTCTTCCTTTGAAGAGTAAGACAAAAGGATAGCAAACTGAGAACAAAGCCCTGAGAAGCAGGGAGATAAATTTGTGGCTGAGTCCCTGCTCCCTTCTGTCTGAGGACAGTCGTTGTAAAACAAAACCTGTAGAGCCAACTCTTCTCCGTGGTGCTCACTGGCAGCACAAGAGACAATGAGAACAAACTGAAAAATGGATAATTCTGTCTGAACATAAGCAAACACTTTTTTACTGCAAAGGTGTTGGACCCCTGGCACAGACTGCCCAGACATGTTGTGGAGTTTCCATTGTGGGAGATACTTAAAACCCATCATGAGACAGCCCTGGGCAACCTGCTGTAGGTGACTCTACTTGAGAAGTGGGTTTGGACCAGGTGTTCTCTAGAGGTGTCTGCTGTTTTCAGCTACTATGTGATTCTGTGACCAGGTGTGTTAATGCCCTTCACAGAACACTTGAGAACTAGGATGACTTACGTCATGGTCACCTACCCTATGAAATATATGCTGGAAACTTTTAACAGTAGTCCCAACAGAAGTGGATTTCATCAGGAAACTCCATTTTTGGCTACCATGTCTTCCACTTTTAAAAAGTGCTCTAAATTTAGAAAACAAGTGATTGGAAAATTAGGCTTGTTTTCCAGCTCTGCAAATAACTATGAAATGTCAGGTATCCCTTCATGAAGGATAACACATCTGCTTACTAAAACAGTTATTGCCCTGTGGAATGAGATTTCCCCCACCATGTGGACAGCTTGAATTCTACACACAGATGTGCAGCCAACGGGATTTTTCATACATTTTTGTGGGCAGTTTTCTTCCTGTGTCACGAGGATCCTGGGTTTCACTGGGCAAGGTGAACGTGGCACAGGGTACTGCAGTGCTGCTTTTTGGGGGTCAGTAGGGCCTGCTGGAGCAGCTGGGATGGAGAAGATGGGACAGACAGGACAGGGCTAAGCAGGGTGTGAGGATGCAGGAAAGCCTGATAGTCCTTGGTGTGGAGCAGGGAAGGGACCAAGCATTGGCTATGGGAAATGGCAGAGTTCCCATGGGGATCAAGGGATCCTGCAGAGGTAGATTGAACTGCCCAGCCCATTGAGTTGCCACGCTGAAACCAAGCCCTGAAGAAAGAACTTGCCTGCAAAAGGACACGGTGGGTGGGGGAACATTGGTTATTAAAACTCTTTTATCTCTCTTCTGTCTTCCCCAGTCACTTTGTTTTGCCTTTGCTACAAAAATGAGGTTTTTTAAAATTGCAGTCTGAAATAAAAGTCACAGTGTTTTACATTTCAAAGCCCTCTGGCTGTTCAGTTAAAGCAGGTTAGTCCTGGTCTGAGGTACAGCCTTTCCAGTAAAGCCAGAATTGTTATACCTCTTGTTCTGTTCAACACTCAAGACCTTCCAGTTGGCAGGAGTTCAATGAAATCCTAGCCACGTTCAGGCTCAGGTCAAAGCAGATTTCTCTCCATTGTGCACTTGCAAGATCCATCTCTAGGTGAGCGTAGGGAGTACACCTGCAGAAGTGCTTGCTTTCAAAAGAGCAGGTATTTGCATCCGTTTGGGTTCACAGTTCTTCCAGATGGCATAAAAGTGACCACCTTCCTCTGTCCTGGTGGGAATGACCTTTGCTCTTGGACACAAGTCTAGGCAGGAAGGATGTTCCTTGGAGCCCCATGAACTCTCCTTGCTCCTGCTATGAAGAAGCAAGTATTTTTTACCATGTTAATCAAATCCTCAGCACTCTCTGTAATATAACCCAGCCACTGACTTTGCTCTGCAACCGAGACTGATGGGAACTGGGGTGTTTCCAGTCTGAGTTTATCTTGATTCAACACAGCCCCCATGTGGTACAAGGTTCTCACTGCTCCTTAATGCATTTCTTCATGGATGATTTTTTTTTTATCCATGAGCTGCCCAAAATTCTCAATGTGGATTGCATCTGGTGAGGAAATGGACTTGAAAACCATCATCATGAAGCAGGTTGTTGAGGGAAAAAATGGGATTTATAATTCAGGTTTCAAAGTGTCATTTTGCTTAAAAATAGTATAAATCCTAGTTTAGGAAGCTAAGAAATCCAAAAACCAAAAAAAAAGAAAACATTTTTTTTTCAGCTTGTAAGAAATGTGCTAATCAAGAAGAAAACAAGAGATTTTCATTCCCTCACCCCAAATCTTTAAAATATGTGGAAGATTAAAAAATTTACTAAGTGTTTCCCTTCCAAGTTTCCTTTTTGTGTCTTAACCAGTAATAATATCTTATTCCTTCAGCAGTCTGGATTGTTACATGTATAAAGATTTCTCAATAACTGAGTGTGCTTAGAAAGGCCTGAGCAGCACCAGTTTCTTTCTTATCAGTGATATAATCAAGACTTGCTTTTCAGGGACAGCAAAAACCCATGTTCAACAGATGGAGAACACCTGGAGCATTTGGGGCATACGTAGCAGAAAGAGGTTTTCCTCTGGAGCTAATTCAGGCCTTACTTGAAAATGTTCTGTAATTTTATGCCTCACCTTGTGTTTGATGTTTGCTTTTTTTCCAGACAGGCAAGCTCGACCCGCATTATCCCAAAATATGTGGGCACAAAGGGAATGTTCTGGACATCAAGTGGAACCCATTCAATGACTTTGTCATAGCTTCGTGTTCAGAGGATGCCACTGTAAGTTGTCTTGTTTATATTCTTTGTTATTACTTGACTAATGTGCTTTTTAGGGAAATAATAAATCACAAAACTAAAGGCTCTATTCTGAGACTTGAAAACATGTATGTACTTAACACAAAGCCAGTCAAGAATAAATCCCCTGCCTTTTTGTAGAGGTCAGAAATACATAATTCCTTCCAGATGATGCTAATGGGTACAAAAATCAGTGGGAGGAGTAATATCAGTTTTTTGTTGGACTTCAGTCTTTTTGTGTGTGTTTTCATGGTCAAAACAGGATATGAATTTAAAATGGAATAACTATTCAAAGATAATCTGCTTGAAACTGCTCTTTTACTACAGAATCAGAGCATTAACACAACATAATCTGGAATGAGTATTTCAGATTCAGATTGCCTGTGTAGCAAATTTGATTTTGTTTCTGCCCTCGGTTACTCTGTGAAGTCATGCTGGATTAGTTATGAAGTAGCTGGTATGAAGGTCATACTTTATGCAGAAGACTTGAGCACACAAGTATTTTCCAAATGAAAAGATAAGAAGACTACAAAGGTGCTGAAGTTAATACAATGCAAACCTGTAAGAAGTTATCAAATACCTTGAGGGAGGTTTAAGTTTTAAACAATAAGTGATTCAGCTGGAGTTTGTATAATTAAGATTCAGCCTCATATTTTATTTCAGAGTAGGTGCAGTCTGATCATTAGAATCTGAAAAAAGAAAGAGGTTTATGATTGTGAGAGCAGTTCAGCCCAAATCTGACTACTAAAAGGTTCCTTGCAATGTGCTATCAAGTGTGGTGTGTTTTCTGGACAGTGAGGAGGCTTAACCAAGCCCTACACACTTTTTCAGAAGTCCCTCATGTGTTTTCTCCCTTTAGATATATTCACTCTCTCTCTGGCAACAGGTTTCCTGTGTGGATACCTCCAGTCCTGACTTGGTTCATGTTCTCTGTCACTTCAGCTCCACCTCAAGTCTGTCTTGAATTGAAAATCTATGCTTGAATTTTACTCCCTGTTTAGTGACCTTTATTTGCTTTTTGGATCTTAATGTCTTTTTTGAAGGATTCCTTCAATTTCCAGGCTGCCTTTTATCATCCAAGCTTTATGACCAATATATCTCATCCTCCCACTGTATACCTCAGTAGAGAGAGTGGCTCCATTTTCTCAGCAGCCTGCTCATAAGCATTGAAGGCTTCTATCTGGTTCCCCCAAAGCTATCTCTTCTTCAGACTGAACTTTCCCTGTCCTCAGAGGGCAAATGCTCCAGTCACTCAGCAGTCCTGCTGGTATCTACAGGATAACTTTACCAAAGTTCACCTTTCTTGTACTGTGAGGAATGCAATAGTCTAGTTGTGATTTAATGATTGCTGGCAACAATGGTAACTTCGTTCAGTCTACTGGCTATCCTTCTTTGCTACAGACCAGAAAGCCAGGGCATGCCGCTAGTTCATCTTTAGTCTGGTGTCCACCAGGATACTAGTGCCTTTGCAGAAGAGTTGCTTTCTGTCAGCTTTATATTCCAGTTTTCTACTGAAGTTGTTGACATGGGATCATTCTTCAGGCTAAAGCATGGAAACACTGAGCTTGTAGCTGGTCACAGCTCCAAAAGTTGTTCTAAAATGTGTTACTGCTTCTGAGACTGTGCTCTTCAATACTGCCCTGGTATCATCATATCAGCACCAGGAAATGGGATGTTAGGGGTTCTCTGCACAGGGGAACAGTGCAGGGACATCTCTTCCCTCTCCACTACCAAGCAGACTGTCTTTGATAGATGTTTGGGACCTGGTGCCTGGAAGGGACCTCCAGAAGTCACCCAGTGCCAGCTCTATTCTAAACAATGCCAAATGGGTCAGGTTCCTATGGCCCTTGTTTAGCCCACAGGACTGGAATTTGGGAAAATCTCCAAGCATGGGAATGCCTCTGGCAACCAGAGGCTGAGGATCCTGCTGGGGACAAATGACTCCTCTGATCTTTGAAGAGTGTACATATTGCCACTTTCCTCCATTGTCTTTGGTGCTGTCAACTAAACCCCTGTCTCCCCAAGAAGATTTTGGTCCCGTATTCTCTGTCCACAGGGGAGTTGAAGAAAGACAGAATTGCTCCCTGTTACCCTTTTATCCCCAGGCTGAGCAAGAGTCATTTTCTCTACCTCTTCCCACCTGTCCTGTGCCGCAAACCCATCTTCATCTTAATCACTTCCACTGGAGCGTCTTCACAGGGTCAGTGTCTGCCTTATCCTGCTCTGTACTGTGCTGGACCGTAAGGTCCACCATAAGGCCCTTCAATAGGGCCATCGTTGCTGCAGCCTGCTGTGGTGGAGTCACAGCCGTCTTTTGTGCAGCGTGCGGCATACCGCTTTTGGGCTTTGAAGGGGACAGATTGCCCCTGTGAACACTCAGTGCCCTCCCTGATTCTTATTGCTGCTCCAAGCTGAGGCTTCAGCAAATGGCCTGGGCAATTTGGATGCTGTGTAAGAGGACGCATCCTCAGTCCCCTCTTCCCAGCTGATCTCAGGCAGGTTTGAGTTAAGCCTGATGAATATCTTCCTTGTGGTTAGGAGGGCGCTCTGTGTCTTTCCATGGTTCCTTTTCTCTGTCAGGGTCTCATCTATTGATGTTTATTCCACATTTCCTGGATGGAAACAAGGTAGCCTGCAGCTGGTGTGGTTTGGTGTCTGTAAAATTTGTGGCTTAGCTCATCCCCTTCAGAATATCTTTTTGTGATTTACCGAACTGCAACCTGATTTTGTGAACTGCTGGTCACATGCCGGGGCTTAACTGCTGAGCTAAAACAGTGATGGAATTGCTGGCTAAAGAGGAGTCTTCAGGCCCATGGAAGTTCTTGTATTTCTTCAACAAAGGCAGGAGTACATCTGCCCACTTTCAAAAGGATAATTTGTTATTGGTAAGTCTCAGGTTAATTATTTTCTCAGGGATCTCACAGAGCTGTCTTTTGCCATTCAGGTTAAAATCTGGGACATCCCCAAGCACTTTCTAACAAGAAACATCACCAGTCCGAACAAGGAACTTCTTGGGCATACACGAAGAGTTGGTCTCATTGAGTGGCATCCCACTGCCAGTAACATCCTCTTCAGCTCCAGCTATGACTACAAGGTGGGTCTTTTCTCTGTGGTGCACTCTTTATATGGCACAAATCATGCTGAGAAACTTGGGGTTTGATTAAATACAGCTAAACAGACAGACAGTTCTGTTTGGCAAGTTGTTTTGATTTTTTTTTTATTTCAAGTTGTAAGAGAATGATAAAATGTTCAGAAGCTTTTTTGCAGAGGGAAATTCCATAAGTGACCCCAGTGGTGAAGGGAAGCTGTGACAAGTTTCAGAAAGGCTTGCTAAATTCCTAGTCTTGCAATGAACTTCAGGCTGCTGGCAATATCCAATGCTGTGCACTTTCCTATTCCTGTGTGTTAGTGTAAATGCCTGCATTGATATTGGCCATTTTTCTATAGAAAATATGGTCTGAAAAGGACATAAGGTTGATTGATAGATCTTCTGGGCAGACACCATGTCCCTGATACATTGCTGTAAGGTACCAGAAATGGTTTAAATGCTGGAGAACAACCATTCATGATGGTTAAGACCTATACATGTAGAGGAGAGTGGAATACGGTACATGAAGTGCCTACTTGTTCAGTTAGCAAAGGGGTAATTGTTTGTTTCTCTGCTCCAGATAATGATCTGGAACCTTGACACTGAAAAAGCTGTCCTCTCAAATCCAGTGAAGATCCTTGATGTTCACGGAGATGTGGTCCTCTCCATGTCATTCAACACAGATGGCAGCCTCCTTGCCACAGCCTGCCGGGACAGAAATATTCGTGTGATAGACCCTCGTGCAGGAGTAGTCCTACAAGTAGGTTGGATTCAGAAGTTTGTGGTCCAACCTGTCTCATATAGGTGCATTTCCTCTTCTAAGTAGACTCACTGTCATTAATGAAGATACATCATTACTCAGGACAGCAGATGGTGGTATTGCCTTCATGAAACGCTGCTGCTGTTGAAAATGGTGTTCTGTCTCATGCTACTATGCTTCTTGCTCTGCAGGCGTTCTCGAAGTGCACTGTTTTGATAGCTCTTTTCTGTAGTGCTCTAGGTACTTCTGTGAGATGCCTTGGGAGTGCTGGGTAGAGATCAGATGGGTGCAAGTGTATGTTGTCCAACCGCCAGGGTTGTCGTTGCTGTCTGTACTTTGTATTTGTTAGTAAGGGGACTACCACTGTAAGTACTTGCACAGATCTGTGTAGAGAGAGAGTCCTGTCTAAACCTAACTGTGTTTACCCTCTTGAAAATATATGAAGCACCAGGTAGAGAGAATACCTTTTTGTTTTTTCTCCTTTGGAATAGTTCTGAAAAGTCAGAGGACTCATGTAACATGAAATATACCTTTACAATGATGGCCTGCTGTGCCTTAGCCAGCTTAGATAAGCCTCATGGGCAATGGAAGGTGGTTTATTGTCATGACATGATTTCTTATGCAATTTTTTACTGCTGGAAGAGAGTATAGTTTTGTATTCAAGTGGCATGTCTTTTCTTTCTATAGGAAACCTGCTACAAATCTCACAGAGCCCATAAAGTCTTGTTTCTTGGAAGCATGGGAAAGCTGCTCTCTACTGGAACATCTCGGTGGAATAATAGGCAGATTGCATTATGGGATCAAGTGAGTTGGATCAGCAATCATAACTTAATCAGCTTCAATTTTCTGTCTTTTGCTGTCACTTTAATTTTTCTGTCTGCCAAATACCCAAGAATTCGTCTGCAACAGCAATTCAGAAGGGTTTTGTTGAACTCTTAAGACAGGCAGATTTTACTGTTATCATACTGTTACGATACTCAAAACTTAAAACATAGAAAACCACCATGTTTTGAAGGACCTTTGAATGATCAGTGTAGTTCTCAGTTTACATAAACTTTTAGTAGACTCACGGGCAATTTGTCATTGGCACTGGAAGAGAAATGAGCACTGGAGACAACTTACTCAGGTGACGACCCCAAGAGGGTTGAGGTAGCTCTTATCAGCCCCCTGCAAGACATAAGACTGGTCAGTCTTGTACCGTACTCTTACCAGGCCTTGCCACATAAGGTCTGTGAGGGCTTTTCCCTCAGGCATCTTCCCAGTGTGTGGTATGGAGGCCTCTCAGCTAGCTCTTGAGGTAGATGGTGCACTGTTGTGGAGGTCCACATCTCACCTAAAGATCATGTGGGAACCTGACATTCAATGTGCAGTGTGGACATGCTCTGTCTACCTCACTGAGAGTGCTGGCCCATATGGCCTTCTTGGAGCCACTTCTCTCATTGTACTTACCCCTGAAAAATCACCACGTGCTTGAGATACTGAAGTAGGAATGATGTCCTCTGTCAAGACTCAGAGGAGTAGCATGGAGCCAGGGGCAGAACACATATCTCCCATCTTTGCTCAAGGCTACTGTCTTATCATCTGGTGTTATCACATCCTTTCCATTAGTGGGGTTTCAGGTCAGGTGTCCCTGATTTGAAGTCACTGAAATGCAATGTCAGTGGTATGTTTTTTCCTGTGATTTGCCCAGAATGACCTTTCTGTGCCTTTAATGGAGGAAGATCTGGATGGCTCCTCAGGGATCCTATTTCCCTTCTATGACTCAGACACACACATGGTTTACATTGTGGGAAAGGTAAGTGCTTCCCATGCTAGTGAACGCTGGCATGTCCAATTCTTCCAGAAGCATTGCATCACCACCTTTCCTATGGTGAAGTCAAAGATGCTCCAGAGGTGCATTAACCTAAGGTTGAGGCTGGTGGGATGGGGCCTGAAGGTCCTACAGAATCAGGCTACATATTTTGCTGCAGGTATGCCATATTCACCGAGAGAGGTGCATTGCAGAGCTCTAATGCACAGGAATTTGGGGGTAAATATTTTGGAAGGGATACACCCATCCATGAGCTTGCATAGCATTTGGGCACAGGCACTCTTCTTAGACCCTCATGCAGAGCTGTAAACCTGGCTTATGTTCATTCTTTTTGCCTTTAGGGTGATGGAAATATACGGTACTATGAGATAAGCCCTGAGAAACCATACCTGAACTACCTGATGGAATACCGTTCTCCTTTACCACAGAAGGGAATTGGTGAGTGGTGATGTGTATGTTTAGTGTCACAGCAGGGTAGTGGCTTCTTTGTCTAAGAGACTATCTAAATCCAGATCTATTCAAAGTATGTGCTTATATAAAAGACTGCGGTCTTTTATAAAAGCAGGTCATACTGCTGTCTCCAACCAGATTTATGTGCGCACTACTGTTGGCTTGGCCTGGCTCACCTATGTGCCCCAGGTGGCACTACAGGATCACAGCCTGGCCAGCCAAGCATGGGCCAGGCTTCTTAACTCTTGCATCCCTTTCAAGGTGGTCAATGTAGTCAAGGTGGAGGGGAGCGCTGTTTGGATTTAGAGGTGCAGAGTGCTCCCCACCTAGAGGGAACCTGCCCTCACATTTACATCATTGAACTCTGTGGATGTTGTTTCCACTCTGGGGTATCTCAGTGCATTATGAGAGCTCCATATCTTTGTGCATTCACTCTTGTCTCTTGTCCAACTTCTGTACTGACATTTCCCAGAGATGGACCTGCTGTGATAAGTCACCTGTCCTTCTTTAGAGACCATTGCTCATTAATCTGCCTGCATTCTATCCCAGACTATTAAAAGTATTGAATTGGCTTTCAGCCTACAGACTGTTTTTGGTAGCTCTTCCATGAATCTTCTCCAGTTTATCCCATAAGTGGAGTTTCTCTGTAGACTGATGTATCTTCAGGATCATTTGCCCATCACTCTATACTACTTGTAGGCACTCCAGTTCCTCTAGGACATTGATATAGATATTTAGCAGCTACTGTTTTGGATTTTTTCTTGCAGGGCCCCTCCAGAAAGGAAGAAAGGAATCATTTGTCCTATCCCTGAATCACAAATGGTTTATGTTTGAAAGAGTAGATAAATTTTCATACCTTTATACTCCATCCTGCTTTGAGCCACTGTTGGTGATGGGCTGTTGACTGAAAAGACCTTTCCAAAACCTGTACAGCTATTCTGGTGGTGTTTGTGTATAAGAAATCCTGTCCAGGCGATCCTGATAATTGAATCGTGTGGCATCGCCTACCTGTTTTGCTCAGTACTGGTCACTCTATCTATAGGTCATAAGAATAAATAAGGAGCATGAGACTTAACATGGGAAAAATCAACACTATGTGTAACCTTGTGGTCTGACAGAAATAAGTAATTGAATCTCATATGTTGATTTGTTCTGCTGAGACAGTTTTTGCTGCAGATTTTAGACTGTACTGGTATGGAGCTGATGCTGTGACTCCTCCTGTTGTTTGGTAGCACTTTCTGTTTTTTTTTTTCTTCCTGATGGATGACATAAACTCTCCTGGGAAAATTTGTGCCCCATTTCTCTTGTGCTCTTCCATCAGGAATAATGCCAAAGAGAGGCCTTGAAGTGTCAGCCTGTGAGATTTTCCGTTTCTACAAACTGGTCCCAACTAAAAATCTGGTTCAGCCCATCTCCATGATTGTGCCTCGACGGGTGAGTTACCCTCAGGTCATACCTGTTTCTGGGACAGATACCCTGATAGAGGGGGCAGCATCTCCTCTCTGTGACTCCTGGGAGTCAGGAGAGCAGGTAGAACGGGAGATTTTCTCTTTCCTGGGAGGAGGGACAGAGCTGGTCAGCTTCTAGGGCAGTGCTGCCAATAAATCCCAGTTGTGTAGCTCAGGAGTTACGTCTTTATGACAATCAGCTTTCTTGTGTAAGACACGCTCATCTGTCTGCTCCGCTTGGATGTGACAAGTCTTTCTCCCACCGTTGGGTCAACTTGTTGGTTTTAACCTTCCTCAGTTGGCCTCTGTTTGTCATAATGATGAAAAGGAGATAGAGGCTTGGGGCAATGTTAAGTGACACATGAGTTAAGTGACACATATCTACTCCTTGAGGAAGTAAGAAAAAAAATCCCTGGAGAGGAAGGAGTAGTGTGTGTGCTGCTTGGTACCTGCTTCTCCAGAAGTGTTGGCAGGTGTAGGTACCCCAGTTACAGCCAAGGCTTGTTGCAACAATCACCTATGCAGGTTCCTCCAATGTTGCCTCCATGGCCAGTTTTCGAGGTTGCGGGAGGCTCAGGGTGGCTGAGAAGACTTTGTGCCCACGCTGATGAGTGCTCCTGATGCACTGCAGTAGAATGCAGTGACTTTCCAGCCATGCACAGGCACGCGTGGTCCTGCTAAGCACAGTGCCAAGCCTCGCTGTCCTCGGGGGCTGATGTAGTGACTCTGGACTTCCCTTTTGCTTGCAGTCGGAGTCATACCAGGAAGACATCTATCCCTTGACCCCTGGAGCCCAGCCAGCCCTGACAGCACAAGAGTGGCTGCACGGAGTTAACAAAGGTCAGCACATGGAGGGCAGCCCAGCCCTTCAGCTCCCTGGGGCTTGGGTAAGCTGCCACTGGCTCTCTGGCCTGCTAACTGCTGGAGAAGTAGGAAATGAGGAAGATGAGAGACATGAAAATTATAGCTGTGAATCAAAATAATCTGGTGGCTAAAATATATGAACTCTGGGAATCTCTCCCATGAAGTGCTTTCATGTTTCTCCCCGCAGTCTGTTTGAATGCATTGCTTACTGCTGATTTCTGATTGTGGTGCTGATTTCTAACCAGCCAGCTGTCTCCCTTTGCAGCGCCTCTGCTGGTGTCCTTGAGACCAGGCTCTGGAGCGGTGAATTCCTTACCAGAGTTATGCGAGCCCAAGCCATTCCTGAATACTACAGCCCCAAGCCACAGCCAGGACAGGAGTGGGCTTCCACCGGAGAAGAGGCAGAAGCAAAGCGAGGTCCAAGACGACAAGAACCAGCTAATTGTGGAAGAGACATGGCGGAAAACAGAGGAAACGAGCCTGTCCAATGGCTTTGACATATTTGAGTGTCCACCACCAAGAACTGAAAATGAGGTGTGAAGGTGTCTCCAGTGAAGGGTTTGGGGGGAATATCCAGAGCATCTGTCAAAAAGATTCCATTCAAAAAGTATCAGAATCTTGAAGGATTTGTGTTGCTGAGCCTGGACAATTGCAGAGCTCAGAGCCTCCCGCACATCTTCAGGTTCCCACTGTGCATGAGCCTGTCTCTCAAAGGTGGAGCAGGTGGTTCATTGCCTTCACTATCAGCAGAGAATATGAAAGTGAAAGGATTACAGTGTTTGGTGTAAGAATCAGGCTGTCCCTTCATACATGTCCCCTGTGACAGTGTGAGCTCTTCATTCCTTGTAATTGCAGAGTCTTTTCATGCCCATGAAAACCAGAAATATGCTGCTGTGGGAACCAGCCTCTGGAGGCTATAGAAGTGGGATCAGAACACTTGTGGAGCTGGGTGCTGTACGGCATGCTCAGTGATAGACTGTGCTGGTCCTCACGGGACATCTAGAAGGTGGTAGATGCGCCAGTTTAGGCTTTGGATTTTCTATGTTCAAGCTCTGAGTCATCAGTGGCATGAAGACCCTTTTCCCTGTTCTTCTCTGCTACTGAGTTAAGGGATGTGTCTTTAACAAGTGATGTTGACAAAGACCCACATGCACAGCCTGAGCTGGTGGTCAGCAGGAGCCCTGCTCATGACCGGTCTATTAGAGGAAGATTTCCCCCTTGGAGGCTATTCTAGGGGTGATGTGACAGGACTGGGTGCATTTGGCAAGGTAAGTCTGTGTTTCTGTAGCATTAGAGAAACAAAATGTTTCTTTTCTTGCAGCTCTTGCATATGTTTTACCGACAACAGGAAGAAATACGGAGACTACGTGAACTGGTAAACCAGAGAGATATCCAAATTAAACAGCTGGATCTAAGGCTCAGAAACATCTGCAAGGAGGCAAGCATGTCTGAGGACAGTGGCCTGCAGTCCTCACATCATTGGTAACTGCATCAGACTCCAGTTCCTGCAGAAAACTCTTTTTAGGGTTTTTTTTTTTGTCTGGGGTCCCCTGTCTTTTTTTGTTTTTCGTTTGTTTGTTTGCTGGGGGAAAGATTGATGTTTCAGGCAACTGTGCTTCTCTGGCTAGCGGTGGTCACATTTCCCTAACCATTACCAGGCAGTTACTGATGGACTTGCCACACTTCTTCAGGCTCCTTCTGGAGCCCATCCATTAATGTCAGAAGATCACCTGTTAAAGCTAGTGTAAACTCTGGCTTCAAAGCAATCCTCCTGCACCCTTCTTGCCTCTTTCACCCAACCTTGTGCACGGCTGGGCAAAGCCTGTTCTGCCCCAGCCATACGCTGTGTGCTGTTCCCCCCAGTACTTCTGGTGAGGAGAGGAGAGTTGTTCATTCCAGAGGCCAAGCTCTACAGGCCTGGTTCCCACTGGAGAAGCTGCAGGCAGCAGCAAAGGTCTCCGGGTCCTTCGAGTCAGTGGCCTTTTCTTTGTTCCAACAATACTCTTCTTCTGCCAAAGGCCAGCTGTGGCCATGGGGATGATGGCCCTGCAACACTCGTCAGACTTTCAAGGTTGACAGCCAAAGCTAGGAAGGATGAAAAACAATGGGGGTGCCTCTGGACCCTCACTGTAGCCCACTCAGCAATGGTGCTACCAACAGCAGGACCAAGGGACAGCCCGAGCAGACGTCCCTGGTTTTGGGGTTATCGCACATCTCTGTGCCCACAGCTGCCTCTTTCTTCATGCCCAGAGCCTTGCAGCCACCCCATGGCTGGTGGCCACACTCATCTGTGCCTAGCTTTCAAGCTGTGGGAGCATGGTCCAAAGGAAAAGCTCCTGTAGAAGTCCAGATCCTTCTGCGGTTCCCATATGGCAGGGCTGTTCCCATACCTAAATGCCGAGGTCACAGAGATGTCCTAACCCCAAGCAACCATTGGTTGACCTGTGTCCAAATGCATCTGTTGCGATGCATGAAGTTGTAAATAGTATGTCCCGCTGGCTCTCCAAAGCCTAATGTTTTCCAAAAGGTTTGAAATAATCTGTGTAGACAGGGGCCCCCACAAAGAGGGTGCTGTGGCAAGACGGCTAAGAGCTGTGCACTGCCTGTGCTCATGCAACACCGGTGACCACTGAAAGCAGTGGCCAGCATGGAGCTCATGGGCATTAAATGCTCATATATGAGAATCATGGAAAGACTCGAGCATCCCTTTTGCTCTACTTCAGAGACTTCACCCAGCTTTCAAAATATCATGCATTTCTACGTAGCAGCAACATGTTTGGGTGCTAAAATGTTGTGTTTTTGTTTCCTTCTAAACAAGTTCTCTGTGACAGTGCAGAAAGGGGATAGACATTCAGGAAAAAAAATTACATCTAGCACCAGTCACTTATTTAACACTACGCTTTTTTTCTTTTGTGAAAAAATAAGGGGATAATAATATATTAATAACAAAGTTGTTGAAGTAAACTTCAGCTCATTTCAAAATGGACTTTCCTGCTGTACAGAGTTTCCTGCAAAGCAGCTCTCTCCAGATAAAAAGCTTTAAGCAGTGCGCGAATCTTGCAAGGTCAGTAGCGGTCAGGCTTTCTCACAAATACGAATAGATAAGTAAGGAAAAAAAATTGGGAAGCCAGTGGTTTTTTGGCCATGTGAAACAGGCCAACAGCTTCAAGCTTCAAAGCCATTATCTCTTTACTTTTCAAGGTTTCCTTACCAGATACTTAGTACAATCTCAGCAGTCCCTGTGACATGGCAGTTTTCCTGCAACAATACATGTTTCATGCGCTGCCTTGTTTTTGCTTATTTTTCATACAGAATAATTTATTTAAATTATTTCCAAGATAAAGCAATTTATTTCCAAGTGATTTTATGTTCTCTTGAGAGTTATTTCTTTGCTCATGCTGTGGGTAGCATAGAAATTTCTCAACAAGTATGATGTTTAGCTTAGGATTTTGTTGATTTACGGAAAATAAATTGCTTTGATTTGGGTTTGCTTGAGACCTTTATAAGGGCAAAGAGTACTTAATCAGAATTTCAGTAGAACCCTTTTATCAGATGGTGTGCCTGCTTACGTGTAACGTTTGATATGTGTTTCAGTTTGGAGCTGGAATGAAACTATAGATACTTACAGAGAGAAAAAAAATGAGAAAATGGATTTGTGTGTTAATGAACTGTGCCTAAATAGACTTAACTGATCACTTCAGCAATTTCTTAATGTCCATGTATCTTTGTAAAAAAAATTTAAAATGGGGATAAAAACACATTTGTGCAATGAAAACCAAATGTAACTGAATAATAAATATGTTTAGAGTTTTACTATTTTGATACATGCAGAATTGTTGCTTTTTTAAATTATAATTATCTTTTTGAAGTGAGTTAGAATTAAGCTGGACAAGATGGCTGAGGATCTGTGCAAGGTCAGGAAGAAGTATCACCCCTTCTTTCCTTTCCTTTTGGGAAGTTGTGGCCTTATATCGGTCAGCACTAGGTCCTACATGATGCTCTGTGTGCTGGCCTGTCTTCTTTGAATCTTTTCTATCCTCCACCATCAAGGAGGTACAGGTCCTTTCAAGCCACTTGGCAGCTGAGTTACCTCTTTGCAGAGACCCTTCAGCCAGCAGAAGACAACAGAGTGATTGCAGCTGGGGACCCTATGGGGTTCCTTGGTGTGTCTCAAGAGGTTGCAAACCGTGAAAGAGCATCAATGGCTCCAGGTGTGAACAGGTTGGCATCATTCTGGGTTCTTCTATGCCAAACCGTGAGGTGGCTTTCGGACATACCTAGCCTGCCCTGGAATTCGTTTCCTCACATAATCCTACCTTCGGGAGAGCCCTTCAGAGCATGAATTGCTGCTGTTGCTGTGCCAAGGAAGTTGGGGGTGATGTGCAGACACGGCCAGAGGGTTTTTAAAAAGGAATAGTCATCTGTTGAGAAATTTTCACAGATTAATTTCACATGTCATCCATGTTCTGAACCCGGTGCAAAGAGTTGATGGTCTCTGTCAGTAGTCAGGGCCATCATTCCTGTTTCAAGGTTAGTTTATTACTCCTGGAGAAGAGTCTATATGTGAGCTCCAGTAGAGCCCTTCAGAGCATGTATTTCTCCAATAATATTCCTGCCCACTCATTTGATGTTTGCATTAGTAGCAACATCAGCATCCATGGCTTTCTGAAACATTCTCCAAGGAGTCTGAGCCTGAATGTGATCAAAGTTTCCTGGCCAAGTGGTGGTAGTTTCAGTTTGACACCTTGTTACCTGGATGTGAATTTGAAATCAGATGAGCCAAAAGGAGATGCCTCTGTTTTGGTGGTTTTGGTGGGAAAGTCAGACTGAACTGCAGTCCTCAGATCTTCCTGATACTGGAGGGGATGGTTGTGTGGTGGGAAATCATGAAGTCCATGTGGTTTCTCCCTTATACATATCTTTGTGCTTAAACTTCTTGGTGGGTCTCTGTGTTGGGAATATGCAGTCACACTCACCCTGAAGACAGCTGCTCCCACAGTTTGGATGCAAACAGCAGCATATAGCCAATTCTCATGCCCGTGGGCCCTCATGCCCGTGGGCCTTAGCTTGTCAATTCCCCCTTAATATTTTGTCTCTTGACTATTCCCCTCCTGTTGCTGTTGCACTTCTTGTCTGAGACCTTCCACAGGTCTCCTCAAAGAAAAAGAGTATAGAGGAGAAAAAAAATCCTCTGTGGAAGCCCCAGCCATCAGATGGATGACATAGGCTTTGGCAGGAACTGATTTTGCTGTTTTGCCTTCCTCTGCTAAAGCAATACACTGCTGTGCAACATTTGTGTTGAAGCTGTGGACAGGTTGCCTGCATGGAGACCAGCTGCAGCTGCCAAGGTGTGATGGATGGAGAAGGCCGTAACAACCAAAGCCAAGCATCAAACTGGTCACTACTGAGCAGTTTGTCTTGGGCTGTGTGGGACTTGTCCCTTCAGGAAGAGCTCTGGTAAAGTGGATGGAAATAACTGAGGTTTTGGGTTGCTTTTCTGGGACTGAATGGTTTGATCTCCATGGCCACTGTCACTGCTTGCCACCTATAGCCATTTTGGAGATCATCTGCAGAGCAAGGACCTTGCCAGGCAGCTCTCTACCATTTTCCAGCTGTGTACACTGTTATAGGGTCCTGAGATTTCCCCTGCAAAATCCAAAGCCTCTTTTGGAAATCAGAATAGAGTACCCCTTCCACCTAATTCCTCAGAATGAATGAATGCAAAATGAAAAGCCGTCACAGTATTTTTGGATGAGGATGGAAGACCTAGCATCCTTATGCTGTAAACACTCAAGGACCAGATATGATATCTCCATGCTCTGGTGGGAGCTCCTGTTTTGCTGTGGTTGCCTCTCAGATGTGTGTAGCTGCTTATTAAACTCTTGGTCTTCTGTCCAAGGATGATGTGGAGTTACTGATAAGAGAAGAGAGGAGGAAGCTCAAGATAAAAACAAGTGAATAAATCAGCTGGGAATAGCTTAGAGCATAGCTTTTTATCAACTCATTGCTCTGGCAAAATGCAGTAAGTGTGGAACTAAGTCACAGATGCATGCCATCTAGGAGGAATCATTTCCAGCTTCCCTGCAGGGGACGTGCTGCAAATTTACACCATCTACCCTTTCGGCAACTTCAAGCTCAGTGGTGAGATTAGGAGAAAAGAGGTTTGAGCTTGTCCAAAGAGGAGCTAAATATGCTTCCTGATATCTGGATGAACAGAGAGAGATGGGTTTCTCTACTGAAGTAGCAAAAATCCTTCTTTAGGCCACTCCAATAGAGCATTAGGACTTCTGAGCATCTCACATGGCAAAGGAGTTCCTTCCCTCCAGATATTGATGGACATCAAAAATACACTGTGATTCATTGGGCTGCATATGTAACTTCTATGTTACTACTTCCTGCCCCCCCCCACCTCATTTAATCTTTCAAAAAATTACCTGATATGCAGTCATATGGTAAAGGATTTGGTCTGCATCTCCCTCTGGGTCTGGCCTGCCAGATGGTTTTTGTTTTTTGGCTTTAGAGGGGATGCTGTTAATAAAATGCCTGTGCCCAGAATGCATGCTTACTGCTGCAATGGTGCTATTGCGTAAGTAGAAAGTTTGCTACATGTTGTAACTTGTTTTTAAATAGTCCTCTGAACAACCCAGGATGCCCATCTGGTGCACATGCCTGCAGGCCAAGCTTCTGTCTTCTCTCCTGCTCTAGCACTTTGCAGACCTTCTGAGTTCAGCTTGTGCTGGAAGTAATTATGATACATAGAAATAATGACTAAAACTAAACAGGAGCCGTCAAAACAAGTGACCCTGCTTGCGAAGAGCTGATTAACTCAAGGAATCAGTCAAGGTACACCCGGCTACTTATGACCTTTGGAAATGTGTGTTTGGAGAACCAACAGCCTTTTGTCAGCCTCATCAACCCTTAAATTTGGTTTATTCATTTATCTTCCAACTTGCACCTAACATTATCCAGACTGCTGAAACTTCTTAGAACTAAGGATAGGGACACATGCATACATCTTTTAGAGTAAAAGTCTGTAGGCAAAGGAAATGACAGGAATATCTCTGAATTCAGCTCCACGCAGTGATGGGAAGAAGACTCTAAAGTTCCTGATCACAAGGTTGGTAAAAAAAAGCAATATTCTTCAATCAGTTTACACCAAAATCTGCAAAAGAAGTAGAGCCCAAACACAGGGCTTCGTGATCAGGAAGTAATTAATGATGCCCGGTTTTGCTGATGTTTCCTTTAGAATTTGCTTTACAGTGCAGTCCAAGAGGACCAATGGTGGTGTCATCAGCTTTCCCAGTAGTAGCACTAAGTAAGTTACATGACACTTCATGCTGCTTCTTTCCCAGTTGTAATTTTGTTTGATTTGGAGTTTCTTTCACAACGGTAGCTCTTCTTGAGCAGGCTTGGAGCCATCTCAATACCTGACACGATGCATTTGAGGAATCCTCCTCCACACCATTGTGAAAGTACCTTTATTTATTTATTTATATTTTTTAAAAAAACCCTTATTGTAGTTCTGTTTGGAGTTTGCATGTCTGTTCCCTGAAAATTAGTTAGAACACAGCGTCCTCCTTTGTTGTGGGTCCACCTGGTCCTCTCACTTCCCCAGCGGTCACTGTTTGATTTTATGGTTTTTAATCCAATTGAGAGCTATATGAGTTTTGTCTCTTTCTTCTTTGATTCACACAATAGAGAGAGGGGGGTTTTAGCACAGGCATAAAGCCAAAAGTCTTTAAAGCCTCTCTCTGGGAGCTATAGCATGCGGCCTACAGCACTCACCATATCTCCTTTGTTCTGATTTGCTACCTTGCACAACTTGAGCAAGTTGGTCAGTTGGCTCTAACATAGTTTCGATCAATGAATTACCAAGCAGCAATTACCCTGCCTGGGATATTTAACCTATAATTTCTTTACAGCAAGGACATTTTCACGTATGTCTCATTAAGATTATAAGGGACATTCCTCACAGTACTGGAAAGACACTAATAGCAGTAATAAGGTCAGACCCTTCTACTTGTCATCAAATTCCCCTTTGCCAATAGCCTTGCAAAAAGGATGCACCATCTAAAGTGCTTGGGGAGCACTCTGCAGTGCATCGCACATTTTGGAAGAATTTTCTAAGGGGAAGATGCAGTTATCCTCAATACAGAAGCAATCATCAATATGCTTCTACAGAAAGGAGAATAATACTCTTTAGTTATGTTTGCTGCAGAGTTAAGCCCTCAGTCTATCATTTAAAGCAGATGTTCCTTCTCCCTCTCTTATAAGCATCTGGAACAGAGACAAGTTACTCAAAAATGAAACGAGAAAAACAGTGGTGTTGCATGCATGCCTGCATTGCAACGTTGTGAGAGACCCACTATAGGCATAAACTCTATAAATTATAAACTCTCCTGGCTACAGACAATGTCACACAATACTACCCTCAGTACTGCTGTTGTAGCCGAGATGGGTTTTGGAAAGAATTCTTGGTGTTGGGATGCTGCTCTTGGGAGAAACCCCTTGCCCAGCTTGGAGCAGCATCAGCAACTGGTATTGCTTGAAGTGGCCAGAAAGCTGCAAAATGTGCAAAAACACATGCGTATATACACACACATGCAGGGAAGGCAGAGACACCAACACAGACCACTCAATGGTCGAACATTTCTGACCAGCTATTCAGAGAAAGAGAATTAGGCAAGCACAAAAGAAGGGCAAAAAAGAGCCCCAAAAGGCCAAAACAGTGCAATGCAATGGAAAGCTTTCAAGCCCCTCGCTTGCCTTGCCACTTGCCCGGGCAGCAAAGGGAAGCAGGAGGAGGAGGCCCCCCTGTGCATCCCACCTCCGGGGTGGGCACGGAGGCAGCGCCGGGAAGCGGCGCCGGGGCAGCGGGAGCGCTGCAGCCGGCGGGATGCGGAGAGCATCTCCCGGTGCGCTCCGGTGCGGAGGGCACGCGGGGACCCCCGGCTGCGCCAACGCGCTCCCTGCGCGCGGTGGGGAGCTGGCTGCGTGCCTTATTACTGTGATTGCCAAATCCGCCGGTCACCCAGTCACCGTGGGCTGCCTCCGAGACTCGGTCCTGCTCCAGCCCTGCTCCGGAGAGGCAGCCAGTCTGCTCCGACCATGCTCGCAGGGAAGTGCTTGGGATTTCTTTATTCCGGACTGTGTCTCTGGGCATCCTTCTTCCTGTCGTTCTTTAAAGGTAAGCTCTGCTTGGATGTCTGTTCTTTTGTTTTTATTTCTTTCCAAATCCTACTACTCTGTTTTTAGACAAATTTACCTCTGCAAGTCTTCTAAACTTCATCACAGTCTAGCCCTGAAGTTAATGTCTGTTTGGCCGAGTCTTTGGATTTCATGCTACTTAGTATCTTCTTCTCTGAAGAAGGTAAAAGGTGCATTTGTTTTCAATGAAAAGTGTTGTTTTCATTTTCAGAAATTTATTCAATGATTGAAATTTACTGAATGATTTTCAAGAGGAAAATATTCTCCCTCCTCTTTAGAGATTTACCTTATTAGTGCTGTCTGGGGGAATGAGAAATTGTAACTGATGTCTGGACAGGCCATTACTAGACCCTTGTAGGTGTGAGGCTGAAATGGTATTTTTCTACGAAGAAAATATGAGCAGAAAAAAAAAACTTTATTTTCTATGAATCGTTCTGTAAGACTTAAATCTGCAAGACGGTGTAAATGATTGCAATGTTGTAATCAAAGGCGTCGGTGTGACCAAGTGTATATCCTGAAGTGTTCCAGTGTATTGCAAACAGAAGCATCCTTCCAAAACATGGAGGATTACACAGCTGATAAAGAATTTTTTAAATGAGAAGTTGAAATTGTGACAGTCCTGAATGACGCTCAGGATGCTACACAGAATGTGCTTTTATTGCTCCCTAGCAAGGTCAGCTTTTTTTACGTGAAACAAGCTTGCCCGCAGCGATGCCGAGTTCTGAACCTGAGTGGTCCAGATGTGCAAGACTGTGTCCTGCCACCCATGATTTCTGCATGGAGAAGTGAGGGTTGCCTCTTTAAAGCAGAGTACAGCATGGTCCACATATTCCAGGAGCCCGGAGGCACGGGAAGCCAATGCCTACGTGATGTTGCGCTGGACCACATGCGTCCCTCGCACCCATATAATTCTTCCCCAGTTTATCTAAATCTGCAAAACATCCACAACTTTCACATCCCTTAACAGAAAGCTTCGCTCTCTTCTTTTTTTGCGAGACATTTCTGTGCTTCTCCAAGAGCCAAACTAGCAGCGAGGTGACAGCAGCTAGTTATGATATAACCTGGTGCACGGTCCCACTCTGAGTGATTAAAATCTTGCCTTTCAAATATGGTGTAATTGCTAATTCACCGACGGCAATGCTCAGTTATTTCTTTCTGAGCAGCTTGGGAAGACACAAGCTGCTTTTATAAATAATTCAGACAGTTTGTTTTGAGGTGCTTTTACCAGCTGTTTATAAGTATGCACTTTTACAGGCAGCTGCTAACACAGAGCAAAACGGATCTCTAATTTCCGTCTCTAGAGATAGAGGGTTTTTTCTTTGTTTTCTTAAAAAGAAAAACAAGAACTGGAGAAGAGGTGAGGATAGAGAGGTGAGGAAAAAAATGTGAAGGCTAAGTCAGCAGGTTTTCCGTGGTGGAGCCATTCTGTCTGTAGATGAGCTGCCCCAGGATCACCTGCTGCACCCACGTGTGGAAGTTGCAGCAAGTCCCTCATAACCAACATCATCCTCACACTGTGCTGCCTTGTTCCTGCAGAATTCATAACAAATTACTACTTACTAAAATGTTCTCCAGGGCTTTTTGACAGGAAAGCAGGATGGGGCAGGCGGAAGTATGAGAAGTAAGTGAAAAAAAGAAAAATCCCCCTGCATCACTCTTTCCCGCCTATCTACAACTTTTTGCTTTGATACCCTCACACAGCTTTGTCTGCAGTTCTGATGGGAGCCCTGCAGACATCCCCTTCTTGCTCAGGCATTGCAAGGTCCTTCCCATATGCAAGCCAGTGCTGGTTCTGGCCAGGTATCACCATGGTGGTGGTGGCCGAACCATCCTTGTCCTCATCAATGCAACCTGCAGGACCAAAGCTCCCATGCTAGCAGATGCTGATCTTGCAGTAGCAATAATGCCAGTAGGAGGGTATCAAAAAGCCCAATTTCCTGCCAAGCTGCCGCTTCTTTAATGTGAATTAGTTAGACCAGGGTAATGGGGGGTTAAAGGTCTCTGTAGAGGGGAGAAAAAAGATTGGAATTTAAATACATGAGGCTTAAGCTTTGGGTCTTAGCTATGTAGGACTGAGGTAATTGTACAAAGCAAGTTAGTTTAATTATTTACTCTAATTGGTTTACTCAGACGAGGACTGACAGAGGCTCGTGCCTTACCAGAGTACCATATAAAGCCACGTGAATTTAGGTGGTCAGTGGAAGAGCCTTTGGACCTCATACATGTTGCCAGATGAGAAGCAGGTATAAAAGTCAGATCATCTAAAGTCTTTTGTGCCCTTAATTTGAAGGCTGAAGTCCCCCAGATCCTTTGAGCTATGGAAGTGATGCAGAGTTTAAGATGGCAAAGCATCTGAGAAAAGCCTAAAGTAGAAAAATATAAGAAAGGTGTTTGCTTGGACAAGTAGGGATTTTCTTCTCTACTGATTAAAAAGATGCCACACATGCAGAGAGGGGAAATTACCGCCAATGCCCATTAGAGCCATCGCTGTAACCCTTGAGGGGCATGCACACCAGAGCCTGGTCAAGCCAGCAAGCCGTACTGGATGCCTGCTCAGGATCACAGAGCCACAGGGTCCCCTGGACAGGGCAGAATGAGGCTGCACAAGTGCCCATCAGGAGTCCCTCTGCTCTGTGACCAAGAGCACCAAGGCAAAGGCACACGCCAACACACTGAGACATGCAGATAGAGCCCCGGGCCAGTCTCTTGAGATGATTTTCTGTGTGTTACTGTCTGCAACCTGCTGTACATTCAAGCCTCTTGGGATGGACTTTCCAGTTCAGTGAAGCAGGCGTCACGTGAAGACCCTAATCTTATACGTGCATGTACTGACTTGCATGGCCATAGGCACAGCTGCAACTCTGTGACTGGCCCAGGTCCTGCCTCTGAGAAGCCACCAGGCTCCAAGAAACTTAGTGCTAATTTCACGCACAGTAGCTGATCTGGGCTACATCCTCCTGTGCTGTCTGTTTGGTTTTTAAAGCCAGCTCCATACCTTTTTTATCTTCCTCCTAAGATGCGAGGGATGAGGATGCGTTTGTGATGGCAGCAGCATGTTGCATGATTTTGTCAGCAGCTGCAACCTTCCCCACGCAATGGAAGAGGCACTTACTGTCTCCATTGCGCAGAGCGATGGGGAACAGCACGTTTGCACCTTGTGTCGGCGAGATAAAGTGACTCTTCCCAGAGCCTGAGTGTGGCTACTTCAATCATGCAGAGGGGGGCATTTCCATCTAAACCTGATGGCTGTGGCTTTCAGGCGGTGTAAGTACCTGAAACCCATTCAATTTCACTGCACATCTTGAACCAAGGATTAGCATAGGGTTTCACTTGTTTATCCTGAGCATGGAGAGAGAGAGACAATATCTTGCTTTCAAAGCAAGCCTAAACCATATGTGCTGCTCCTAACATGGTTGTCAGAGGATGCTTATTACAGAGACCCTCTATAATCCTGTTAAGGAAGACAGAAAGAAGAAATATCCATGAAAATAAAATAGGTACACTGGAGTTTGTTGCTAGCTTGGAACACACTCCTGAGCAAATCTGGCTTGCAGAAAAAGTACTGTTTACCAAGTAATCTCTGCAGTGAGGAAACGAGCAAATAATAACAACTCAGAGATGAGAATCAGATGATGTTTTTGGAAATAATGTAGTTTTCCCACTTTGTGCTCATGACTAAGCCAGTAGGTTGCAATGGAAAGATAATCTGTAGTCAGCTGGATGACTTGGATGTCTGCAGTCCTCATCATCTTCCAGAAAGCTCAGCGAGGATAGGTTAGTCGTCAGTCTTCACTTCTCTCTTTAATTGCAGGTTGGCTTTGGACAGGGATGTAGAGGGAAGGACAGGTTTTAAGGAGAGATCCTTTCCCTTTGAGCATGGTGGTCCTTTCCCATTTTGTTCCCTGAGAGAGATATCAGGTGTTCCTTTCTGTGTCACCATGTGGGACAAGAGGGCCTCTGTTCACTCTCTTTGGCAGATTTGCCATGGTAGTTATTAACAACTAGTTTCCTTGAGACTAATACAGCAAAACCTGGAAAGACTGCTGCTGCTCAAACAACAACCTAAAATCATGGTTTGCAGATGGGGCTGACAACACTGCACACTGTCTTTCCTAAAGTTCAGCTGTGACTATGTGAGAAGGAGCTTTTGTCAAAGGGCCACTTTGATCCCTGACAAGTCAAGAGAAAAAATAAATGGTAAATTGCAAAGAACACGTTTGTGACAGCTAGGATGAGAGAGGATCTCATCTATACCAAAACCTAGACCTGTAGACTAGTTCAGCTGGAAGGGACCGGTAGCAGTCACCTGGTTCAGACAACAGGGACAGCTCAGGTACTGTTCTCCAGCCCCTTCCTCATCTCTGTGGCTCTGCTATGGTGGTTGCATGGGATAGAGTCTGCTTGTGCAGCCCTGAGGAGCCCTAGCTGGACATGTGACTCCAGAAGTGTTGGGGACTCAATGGGGCTGAGCAAAGAATGGATGTAAAGGAGGCTGCTGCTTAGTCTTTTCATCTCCTCTGAGAGGGGAGGTTTGAGGTGTTGGGAAATAGTCTAATGCAGGGGTTCATACCAAGGTTCAGAAGATTCATTCTGTAATTCTTAGCTGTTTTGGGCCCTTTTTGGAGAAGAAACTCTTCATCTTGAACCTGCAGAGTGGTGAAGCATGGTATGTGAGATGCTGGATTATTTCCCCCTGCATATTGAGCCACTTTAGAAAAGTCATCAGCACACTCAGATCTAGCTTGAGGAGGAGGAACAGCTGTAACAATAGGAAGAGGAAATAGAAAAGAAAGGAAATAATAGTTATTGGGTGGTGTGCAGTTGTCAAAGTTTCAAGCTGGCAGAGCCTCAGAGCTGGCAACCTTGGAACTAGCCCTGCTCTTGCACAGGTGCCACATACCCTTGCTGACAGCTCCTAGGAATTTCAGGAGGCCAGAAGCTTCTGGGCAGCCCCAAAGGCAGGCAGTGCAGAAGGAGCCT